CTCCTCTTCTCTGCTCTCTGTTAACAGGGCAGGGAGCAGCAGCGGTCAAAACACCTCAGAAACTAGAACAAATAGGCTTTAACAAGGCTGTAATAAAATAAACTATAGAGGTACATGAGAAAACGTGTTCATTACGAATGAAAATAAATAATTAAATTGTATCCGTGCTGGTCTCAAACCCTGGTCTCCCACTCCTTGGTCCAACACTCTACCCATTGCCCTATCAGAAGGCTTGTTGTGTAATGAGCTGCACATTAAACAACAACAACTGTGACGGCTTTTTATACTGAGGAGGTGGAGTCTCACCCGGGGGTTGCTAGGTAAGGGGCTGAACGCAGGTTCTGGTGGGTTGTCGTACGGCTTGTGACATCACAAAATGACAGAAGTATAAAACTTGTCGTTAATATACATTAAAAATACATTTACTTGCAGTAAATATGCCCCTGGGTGCATTTACTTGGTCCTAGGACCGTTTTTTTTAAGAAGTACATACCCAAAGTTGAGTAAAAAATCCTTTAAAAAGTGAATTTTGCATAATAGGTCCCCTTTAATGCAACAGAAACGTGTATTTAGCATCATAATTGACATTGTCATTTAAAAATATTCAACCACCCTGTAAGAAGTCACAAAATCACATTAAACTGTGTCGCAGTAAGAGTTTAATTTTGATAAACTGATGTTTTTTCATGTAAAATGATGTATTTCAGGGTATTGTCAGTTTAGTTTCTTTTAATGAATAGTAAATGTGAGCATAAACCATTGTTAAATCTTGGCCAAGGATTCTGTCCAATTTTGTTTTCATTCTAATCAACTTGTTTTCCTTATTTTACCTTCGCGTCCGTCTTTGACTCGACCTCTTTCAGCATTCATCTGACAGAGAGAACCTGTCCAACAAGCTGCTGACAGCGCSCTGAATCAGGGGGCAGAAGCAAAGAAAACAGCGGAGATGGATTTAAGTATGCCCCCCGTCATTAGCCTCAACATAATCGAATCATTTTACTCATTCAGAAGTTCTCGGGGCCCGGCCCGGGATGACGAACGCTGTTGAGAAGGCTTCACTCTCCACTCAGTCTGCTGCCAGGAGAGCTGCCTCCGGTCGCTGCTGCCAAACTGGCTCACTTAACAGCTTTTAATTGTTCCCGTTCATCTGCAGAAACTGTGAGGGGGGATGGGTTTTTATGTTTTTAGCAGATAAGTTAAAAACAAGCATGAAGACCGCGTACCTTAAAGCATACCTTTAAAGGTGCTCATTGAAAATAAATGACAAGATGATGCTTTTTGAAGGAGTTTACTCCAGTAGTTTTCAAAATATACAGATATGCATACTTAAACATTTTGTTTAATAAGTGATTCTGCTGAAATTTCTAATTTTTACATGGTAAGCACATTTAATATTGTGCATGATCCCGTTTAAATGAAGAAACAATAAAATTAGCAGATTTTGTGTTTTAAAATATTTTATTAAACGTTTGATAAGGAGCATGAACAAAGTGTTTTAACCATAAATAAAAACCCACAAGTAAATAAAAGCAGAATACATGTTTAATATCAGTTCAGGTGAACCTAACATCATGGTCACGTGGTTTCTTCACTCTCAGATTTTCTCTTCAGGATTATTTTTGAAGGTCAGAGAGCTTTTCATGCCCTTATCGCCCCCTACAGGTGGAAAATGGAATGACAAAGTCAGAAACTGGATCTGAACCAGTCCAGGAGATTTTTTTTCAACAGAATGTTTGTTTTCACACAAAATCTATCATGAATAATTTTGTTTTCATCTCATAAGTTTATGTTGTGTTTTGACAGTGTCAATGTATCACTGTTTAATTAAACAACCCTGCAGAACAAAATGTTAAAAACTTCAACAGAAAGGGGATAAATTTAAAGGGTTTTCATTAAATATTGGGAATCATAATGAATTCAATACAAAAAAATGTTTATTTCAAAAAT